CTTTCAGGCAAAGGAGGCAAAATGTATGCACATTACATCTATTGCACAGCTCATCAAATTAACCTAGTTCTGGTCCATGATGCTGAAGATAAGACCAGAACTGAAAGTTTTCGTCTCAATTTTGTAGGAAATATCTATATATTTCACAGACTGTCTGTGAAAAAAACTAATTATTAAATCTAAAAATAATATTTATCTTCAGACTCTGGCTCAAAAGAATACAGTTTTGCACATGGGAGAGGAATCTGATGATGCGCTCCAGGCCCCTGAAGAAGTTGACAGGATTGAGGCAGCAGATGAAATTGAACATGTTTCTGAAGAACGAAGGAGACCTTTACTTCTGAAGGCATTCTGCAAGACTAGATAGGACGCTCAAATGAAAGCCACTGAGGCAATGATAGTAAATTTTCAGCGTATAATTGAATGCCTAGAAGATGAAACTGTCGCTGCACGCAGGAATAGTAAGGACATACGTCAGGCAAAAAGCAACCTGTCTCTGATGGATTGGCTGTTCTACCTAAATCTGTTATGGTGGCATAGGAATTTAGTTATCATGGCTGCAGCCTCTGGAATACTTCCATCAAATAAAATTGACCTGTTCCAAGTCCTCCAGACATTTGACAGCAAAGTGAACAAGCTCAGCAAACTCAGATCTGAAGAAAAGTATGAGGAAATTATAAAAGAATCCCAGAACAGGTGGGAAACAATGAGTTTTGAAAAGGCAAACTACCCAAGCCACAGGAAGAGATGTGTATGCCACATGGATGATGAATTTGTACATGATTCTGTGTTAGATGCAAAGGATAACCATCAAAGGAAATATTTTGAGGTCTTAGGCAATATGGTAGGGGAACTAAAATCTTGGTATGAGGGATTTCAAGATGTAGCTACTCTATTTGTTTTCCTCCATCCCAGCCAACTTTAAAATATAATGCTAGAAGAGTCAAAGGAGGAAGTTCTTAAACTCAGGGGAAAATACTCATATTTTTCTTTAGACTTGGTTCATGAGCTCTTGTCTTTCAAGATGTGTTATTTTACCAAGGACACAGAGGTGTTCATTTTGTCATGTGGAGTCCAGAGATACCTGAATTTCATAATGTCAAGTTCTCTTGATGATGTTTTACCAGAAATGGAAATGTTGTGTTGACTCTCTCTCACCATACCAATTGGAGTGGCTAGTGCTGAATGTGCAATGAGCACATTAACTAACACATGTCAAAAAACTGCATGTGTTCAACTCGAGCTCAGACATGGCTGGGTGACCTTACTCTCCTTGCAATTAAGAAAGACGAGATAGCAAGGTTGGAGCTCGACGGCATCACAGAACAAATTGCCAAAATTGACAAATGTTGCTGTAGTGCAAGGGTCCAATTACTGGAATACACAAACCAACACAATTTGGGTGAGATTCCACTTCTGTTGAGGCCAGTACTTTAAATTTTTTTAAAAAGCTGTTTATGTTTTAAAAAGCCTAAGGTGATATTAGAGAGACAAGGCAGGTGAGGTGATATCTTTTATTGGACCAACTTCTGTTGGCGAGAGAGACAAGCTTTCGAGCTCACACACAGATCTTCTTCAGGTCTAAGGTGACATGACCATTAGGCCCTATGCTGCATGTTTGCTGGCCAGGCTCTGACCCTTAAATCTCCCCCTGATCAAATGGAATATCAGCTATAATATTTAAAAAATCCCTACCTAATCTACAGTTACAGTTGACTCAACGTAAGATTCTCCTAAAGATGCACTGGCATAAAAGAGGAATATTAAATGTTGGTGGCATAGGTAAGCTCTGGGTTCATTGATATTCATGCTCTGGGACTGCGCTAAGGTGAAGGATGTTTGGAGAGTTGTGTGGGACAGAATACATTTTAATTGTGGATATTCCTTTTATAGGGTTACCATATTTAAAAATTAAAAAAAGAGGACACTCCACGGGGCCCTGGCCCCACCCCTTCCCGCCCCAACTCCGCCCCTTCCCCAAAGTCCCGGCCCCAACTCTGCCCCCTCCCCTGAGCGCCCCGCATTCCTCCTCCTCCCTCCCAGCCATGTGAAACAGCTGCCCGAGCGCTACCGGCTTCACGGTTTGCTGGGCAGCCCCCAGACCTCCAGACCCTGCACCCCCGTCTGGGCGCTTCCCCAGCGCAGCCGGAGCCCGCGAGGGGAAGTGCCCGGCCGGGGGCGCAGGGTCTGGAGGTCTGGGGGCTGCCCGGCAAACCGTGACGCCGGTAGCGCTTGGGTAGCTCGACTCTTCAGCTACACAAAGCTGAGGTGTCTGGGGGGAGCAGCAGCAGCTGCCGCCGCAGGGGAATCTGCCTGCAGCTCGCAGCTTGCCAGAGCAGCTCTAAGGTAAGCAGGGGACTAGTATTTTCCCGGACATGTTCGGCTTTTTGGCAATTCCCCCCGGACGGGGATTTGAGGACCAAAAAGCCGGACATGTCCGAGAAAATCCGGACATATGGTAACCCTACCTTTTAACACTTGGAACTTTCAAACTAGCACTGATGAAGGTGAAATTAGGCTTTACAAATTCTTGGGGACTCTGTTTCCTTTTGAGCTGCCCTTGTAACCAAAGAGCTTATCTTGCACAGATGGAAATTTTGTTACTCTCTCAAGCTCGGAGACTGGTTAAATATGTCATCAGAAATGACAGCTCTTGAATATTCTGTTCTAACTCAGAACTCTTCTTCAAGCTCGAAAGCTTGTCTCTTTCACCAACAGAAGTTGGTCCAATAAAAGATAATACTTCCTCTTAGTTTGATTTAAACCAGGCTTATTTGAATCAACATAAATAAGCTAAAGTAACACTGGTTTAAACCAACATAGGAGTGTCCACTGGTTTAACTAAATGTTAAAATTTGTTTAAAACCACACACAAATTAAACCAGTGCAACTTTTTCATGTGTACATGCTGTCTGTTACAGACTAACGTTACCTATCTTGGTTTAACACAGACCAATGGTGTTTTACATACAAGCAAAGCTGCTAAGCAATATTCCTAATGGGTCAGATTTTTCTAACATCTATTTCTTTGTTCTTTTTGTCTTTAATCTTTTTACTTCGGTGCTGAATTCTTTATAGCGGATTCCTCTCCTCTCCCTAACCTTTTATTTTTCTCTTCTAGCTCTTATGCCTTCTATCCATCTTTCTTCCTACAGTAGAGGCACATAAATGACTATTTGTTAATCATGACATTTTAATGATCGCCTTGTTTGCATTTACTTCCTATCTATGTTTATTTGTGGAAAAAATATTGAAAATGAATCAAGATTTAATTAAAATAAGAACAGGAAAAAAGAACACCCCCTCCCACCCACACTTACTCTGCAGACATGCTTGTTTAAGCCATCACTGTCTTACCCTCACCCCATCTTGAAACTCCAGTATTCAATGTAAGGGTCATGCTGAGTCACTGACAAAGGTTAATAAGCACAATGTTGCAACAGCAAACACCCATTAGAGGAACAAAAGAGCTGTTGACAGTTAACAGTGCATAGCTAATTCTGATTAAAGGCTAGAATGTGTCTTTAAGGAACCACATGTGGTGACTGTGGTGATGGGGGTTCAGAGAGGGCTGTGTTACAAGGAGAAATCTGGGGTTCTGGGGAAGTATATGCAGCAGCAGAAACTCTCTCCCCTTTTGCAGGAGGCAGAATGCGATCCTCTCCGCATAGGGATATGGACAATCCCTCTTTTGCATTCACATTAGCTCCTCCGACCTTCAGCAGATCCACATGACCCAGACATGTTGTTACTGATGATCCGCTCTATGCCAGTTTTTCAGTTGGCCTGTCTGTCCACAGGATTAGTCAGGCTGGTGGAGAGTTCTTTGTTGTGTACCCCTCAGAACAGTGTACTTAACAGCTATAAAACACTTACACTATGTACTGATACTTTCAAGAGACATGCGATAAGTGTGTCTATTTACATTTCTTTCCAAGGAACATAATTCCAGATTCCATGCCCCTTGATTCTGGGATGATTCGGGGTTGTCAGACACCCTGTTTTGGAGAAAGGAAATTTAGAAGCAAGGCCAAAATTTCTTTTCTTCCTCAGTAGTGCAACATTACTAGCAATTAGTTCAGAAAAAGGGAGGGAAGGCATCCTGGGCCCTCAGGCTAACTTTTTTTCAAACCACTGCTTGGAAAACTCACCTATCAAAGCCTGTGTCCCCTGAGGGTGACAAGTCTAGTGCTTGGTGAATACACGCCCATGTGGTTGCTTTATAAATCTCCTCATTTGGGGAATGTGCATAATGTAGCACAATGCTGTTGACCCGGTCCTGTGGGCTCTAAACAGGCAGGGGTCATATCTGAGAAGAAAGAGGTGGTAACTCTTTCAAGTTCCACTCACAAATACATTCCACCCATATGCCTCACCGTCGATTGCGCAGATATTCAAAACACATTCATTCTTATGTGCTCTTTGTTCTCCTTGGGCTTGTGCCCCACTCAGTGGAGTCCAAATACACTCCTTCTTGTGCTTTTTTCCCCCTCATTGAGGCTCATGGGCTCCCACTGAGCTTCTTGGCCATCCCTCAAGGAACCTCAAATGCCCCATTGGGCTCGTAAGCTTCTTGGGTTTGCCCTCTCCTTTTCCCTGACTCCCTGTAGATTATGCAGACCTTCATAGTGTAATCCTGCGGTAAGTGCTTTGAGCAGTGAAATAGTTAATAGTTTAAATGTCAGCCTTGTTATCTGACTTGGCATCCCGGGAGATGAATGGGACAAGTCACACCTCTCAAAGCTATTGTTTCAGGTTCAGCAAATGCAGGCATCTGTTACACTTGGTTCACCTTTCTTGAGGCTGTCTCCTCAAGCATAATAGCTAGAAACTTGCTTTAAAAAAGGGCATGGATTCAGGAGAATAAGGCAGCATGAAAGAGGTTTTGGTACACTGTTCTGACGCAAACCAGCTTATTCTGGATCCTGGGTTTAATTCACATTGGTATCCATGTCCTGTTGCTTGTAATCTAATATGTTCTTAATCATTCTCTTCTCTAGATTCGGCTACCTAACAAACAAGAGGGAGTCTACTGACAAATTGGGAAACTGAGGGACAAAGAAGCGGGGAAACTGAGGCAGCACCTGTTGCTGGAGAGGTCATCATTCTATGGTTCCGCCTAACATGAACACTTCTATAGAAAACTAATCAGTTACATTTGGGATTTATCCCAAAGAATCATTGGATTAATCCTCACCAGAACTGTCAGGTTGGTCTTGTACAGCGGTGTGATCATGAAAGACAGGACTGGGTCGTGTTTGGGTGAAGGCAGTGAAAAGCTGTTTTGTAGGCCCGCCAAAAATGCTAACACTGTTTTGCCAAAACCGAACAAAACAGTAAATTAAACAGCTGGCATTGAGATGGTTTGGAGTGAAGAAGTGTTTCAGCACTGTGGATTGCTCTTTAGCTGTCTTGAATTTTATTAGGTTCTTTCGAGTTTCTCCGGGATTTAAGGAAGAAAAGGCATTGCACAAACGTTGTGTCCATTTTTGTGCTATGGATGCTCCCATATACACATTATTTTTACAGATAGGTTACCTGGAGATTGCAATTACCTGCAAATTTCATTTTCTATTCAGATAAATATTTCTACAGCATGCCTCCTAACATACAATTAGGAGCAGTGACTCTGCTGCATAGGGCTTTCACGTTCACATGGAACACGCACATGACAAAAATATGGGTAATTTTCAAACGTTATCAGAGCTTTCACATATTATTTCATTTGTCAAGTATCAGAGGGGTAGCCGTGTTAGTCTGAATCTGTAAAAAGCAAAAGAGGGTCCTGTGGCACCTTTAAGACTAACAGAAGTATAGGGAGCATAAGCTTTCGTGGGTAAGAACCTCACTTCTTCAGACACAAGAAGAAGTGAGGTTCTTACCCACGAAAGCTTATGCTCCCAATACCTCTGTTAGTCTTAAAGGTGCCACAGGACCCTCTGTTGCTATTTCATTTGTGTTTCTTTCAGTTTAGAAAACATAAAAGTGCCTGTACACAGGGTCTGAGTGTCCTGCCAATTGCTGCAAATTACACAAACAAAATGATGCAATACAATCTATTATTGTTATAATGCCATTATAACACACCATTTGGTCTGAAGGAGGGGGTGGGGGAGAAGCCACAAAATGACACTTTGCATAAATTATAAGAATTTCAGCATAGCTTTCCGCTGTTTAAACAAGAACAATAGCATTCTCTACATGGGAAAAACATCTGTAAGGGTACGTCTACACTACCCGCTGGCAGGGGCAGCTCTATGTTTTTTGTCGCCCCAAGCACAGCAGTCAGGTTGCCTTCGGCAGCATGCCTGCGGGAGGTCCGCTGGTCACATGGATTCGGCGGCGTTTCTGCGGGCGATCTGCCGGTCCCACACCTTCAGCATACCTGCCGCTGAATTGCCGCCAAACCCGCAGGACCGGCGGACCTCCCGCAGGCATGCCGCCAAAGGCTGCCTGACTGCTGCCCTTACGGGGACCGGCACGCCTCCCCCCCATGCCTTGCCACCCCCCATAGCTTGCCGCCCCAGGCATGCGTTTGCTGCGCTGGTGCCTGGAGCTGCCTCTGCCCGCCGGATCGGCGGGTAGCAATCGATCTATCGAGGATCGATTTATCACGTATAGTGTAGACGCGATAAATCGATCCCCGATCACTCTCCCGCCGATTGCTGAACTCCAGCTCGGCGAGAGGCAGAAGCAAAGTCGACGGGGGAGCCGCAGCCGTCGATCTGGTGCCGCGAGGATGCGAAGTAAGTAATTCTAAGTCGATCTAAGATACGTCGACTTCAGCTATGCTATTCTTGTAGCTGAAGTTGCGTATCTTAGATCGATCTCCCCCTCCTCCCCCCCCCCCAGTGTAGACCAGGCCTAAGAGCCATGAGTTTTTTTCTTCTCAGCAGCAGGGCCTTGGCCATTTCAATCTATGGATGCCCTGAAAGTCACGAGTAAATTTCATGGCTCTAAAGAGAAGATGGGATTCTTTATGCAGATGGGGTTAACATTAATTTAGGCCTTGTCTACATGGCAGGCATGTCTGCAGCAAGGGAGATTTAGGTTGAATATTAGGAAAAGCTTTCTAACAATAAGGATAATTAAGTTCTGGAATAGGAATCCATGGGAGGTTGTAGAAACCCCATCACTGGAGGTTTGTAAGAACTGATTAGACAAACACCTGTCAGGGATGGTCTAGGTCAGGGGTTCCCAAACTTGTTCGTGGCTAGTTCAGGGTAAGCCCCTGGGAGGCCACGCGACGCTTTGTTTACCTGAGCGTCTGCCAGTACGGCCGCTCGCAGCTCCCAGCGGCTGTGGTTTGTCGTTCCCGGATGATGGGAGCTGCAGGAAGCAGTGTCCTGACCCGCGCCACTTCCCACAGCTCCTATTGGCCGGGAAGTTGCAAGTGGCCATACCTGCGGACACTCAGGTAAACAAAGTGTCTCACAGCCCACCAGGGGCTTATCCTGAACAAGCTGCGAACCAAGTTTGGGAACCCCTGGTCTAGGTATACTTGATCCTGCCTCAGCACAGGGGGCTGGATTAGATGCCGCTTGAGGTCTTTTCCAACCCTACATTTCTGTGATTCTACAATTCTTGGGGGAAAATTTCAGTATGTTTTTCTGCTATACCTATACCAAAATGATGTGTCCACACTGCTTTGTTTGTCGGCTTAAGCTATTCCTATGTGAATCATTGAGCCCAACACAGTTCTATGGGGGGTTGGTTGGTTGTTTTTTTCCTAAATAACTGCACAGCATTTTGCGCAGATATCCCATGGTGCAATGTATTGCTGCTAGACTCTATGCATTCTGAGATTTTTCTTGCAGAGCATTGTGGGATACCTACCAGAGCCTGCTGCAATTCTGGAACTTGGGGTCAAATTAACCAACTCCCATGATTGCTTTCCTCGTATCCCATAATTCTTCTGTTTTTAGTGATCCAAAACCATTTTCAAACTGCTGTCAGGCAGCATGGAGGAAACACTGTTGAGCCTTAAGATCTTGGCCGTCATTAGTAGGAACAGAGTGCTCCAGATGTATTAGCAGTCACAGAGCTGGATGGCTTTGGATGAGTTGGAATGCAGCCACCAAGATGCCATGCAGATACTGCTAGAGGAGGAGGAGAACAATAAAATTGAGCAGTTACTTCTGCATGATATTTTCATGGAGTGGATTTATTTGGTAGAGTGCCACTTCTGGGCTCAGTCCACCAGCATGACAGGTGGGCTAGGACTGTGATGACCACCTGTGGAAGCAGAACTTCAGGAAGCAGAAGTATTCCTGGAGATCTTTGCAAAGCTCACTCCGGACTGCAGCTGTAGAACACCAACATGAGAGTTCCATTCAATGTGGAGAAGCATGTGACCATTGCCATCTGGAAGCTCTCCATCCTTGCTTGCAAATTCTCCAGAGCTTTGAGAGGGTGAGTACAGCAGAACTAAGCCATGCTCCAAGTTTGTCACAAACCTACTGACTTCTAATCCATGGAATTCCTACCTTGTGTTGTATCCCCAAGGGGCTTCCATAAACTCAAGGAAAAAGAGAGTGGGGCATACCACAAAGCTCTGCCTTTGATTCCATTTGAACATACTGTGAGGTCCCTATGATAGCATGAGTGGAGAAAATGATCAGGCCCCAAGTGATCTATTTACTCAAGGGCCTACCTCTGATTTGGGCAAAGATGTCAATATTGTGGAACTGCCTGGCAACAATGTCAGTAAACTCTTCCTTTCCTGATTTTTCTCCCAACACTTTTAGTTAAATGCCTATCTGATAATCTCTCAGAAGTATCCCATCAAATATACCTGTGATCAAATGTGGGGAACAGCTGACCAAGATGAAAACAATAAGAAAAATTAGCACTGAAGGACAGGCCCAATGGTCTGGAAATCACTTACATAATGTTTTCTAGTATTCACTTACACAAGAAAGTGTCACAATTCAATACAGCTGATGTAACTAGTAGTAAGAAAAAGTCTATCTAAGCCAAGTCTGAATGATGCTGAGGGTCTGCCCAGAAATATTCTTCAGTGTTGAAATCCTCACTCCAAGATGACCACATGTGAAAGCAGCAACAGTGAAATCAGGTCTTTGCCTTGAGAAGCATCATTACCAGTAAAGAAATATGTCTTGCATAATAAGGATCCAGTCCTACAACCCTTGTTTGTGTGAGTAGTTCTGACTCATCCAAGCAGTCCCATTGAAATCAATGGGACTGCTTGGGTGAGTAAGACCACTTCGATAAGAGCAGCAGGATCAGACCCTAAGGTGCTCAATTTCCATAATCCATTAGAAGCTGAGGATATTCCACGCCTTGCAGCCCACAAATCCTGACTAGGAAAAAATACAACCGAGAATTAGAAGAATGGAACTATTCTCAAACTTACTAAAAATCCAAGAGGGCCTCCCGATTTTCTAGTGTTTGTCCACCAGATATTACCTAATTTGATCTTATCCAAAAGGCAGAAGAGTCCGGTCAGGATCTCTCTTTATACTAAATTATTCTGACCGGAATAATAACTAGACACAAAATATCCCAGTGAATGTATGCATTGTTATAAGATACTTTTCCTCACAGATTTTGGTTCTGCTTACTTAATCATTCATGCTTTGCCCATGAATATGAAAATACCTTGATCACTATGCAGTAGGAGTCATCTTGGCACCATCTGTTTATATTTGAGATCTGAACCTTGTAAATAATAAAATGTACTTTGCTCACAAGTTCATAGTTCCAAGCAAGAGAGAAGTTATCATGGATTAAAAGTACAGTATTGAAGGTATTACTGGCAGCAAAATTTTGGTCTCTGTCCACTGAAAGGATTGCTTCCTTCCCATTGTCTACCTTGTAGGAGACTAATATATAAAGTCTCAGGGTCATTATCTGTATATTACTCTATTTGCACTGATAATTGCTTGGCACTGTACAATAATCAAAACAAAGATAGGTCCTATCCTGATGAGCAGTTCACAGCTTACTTTTAAGCCTCTTCACCTTCCCTGAAGACCCCAGAACGAATGAGTGGGCTTGTTTACAGGCTGATATCTCTAAAAGTAATGCAGCTGGCTTTCTGTATGCCTCTAAAATAGGCATCATAGCGCTAAAAGAAGGCAAGGAGCACCTAAGGGCATCCATCTTTCATAACCACAGAGCACACAAACTGGAAAGAGTTATGTCTCCTGTATCGGGCTCCCTGGGTTCACACAATTGGATGAAAACATAGCTGTGGTATAGTGGTTAAAAAAAGCCGTAAACTAACCTAAACTAAACTCCATGTTACCCAAATGAGAAGTGAGTAAGCTCACTTTACCCTTGACTACACTACTAGGGACAGCTGTGAATTTTTTAATAAAGTGGTTCTGTTTGGTGGATGAAGATTATGTGATCTGGCCCAGGCTCATAGGCCTCAAGAGGGGGTGGGAGACAAGACTTTTTGAAGGGTTGGGGGAGGGATTTTGTATGGGAGTCACTGCTTTTGAGCAACAACAGGCTCTACCAAGAAGGGAGAGTCTTCCTCATCAAGAGGGACCTGAACATAGGAGTTATACGCCACCCTCCTAAATGGGACTGGCCCAAAGGGGAAAGCACACTCTTATGAGCTGGGTGAAACGTTGTTATGGATTGAGTTTAAACCAACTCCAAATTGTGTGACTGAGTCCCCCATTTAAGACAGTTGTAAGAGATAGTTAAGGGCCACATCTAAAACAAAACCTAATGGAATCTGCCCAGAAACTAGCACCAGGTGTGTGGGGGGTTTGTCTGGGTCTTGTGACAAACTGGGGGAAATGTTCGGGTGGAGAGGAACACA